ACTTTCCATAAAAGTATCCATTATTCTGATGTCTACAGCATGGATTAGTTTTTCCTTTGGTTGAGTTTTATAGAAATTGAATCATGTGCTAGATACTCCTTTACTTTTTTTTTGCTCAACATTATATTTGTGAGATTCTTCCAGGTTGTTGCTGTTGCTAAAGTTAATTTATTCTTTTTGCTGTATAGTATGTCATTGTATGACTATGCCACACTTTACCCTTCTACTCCTTAGAATTGGCCATTGGGGTTGCTTCCAACTTTTGGCTACCATAAGTAGTGTGGTTATGTCCTTGTAGACTTTTGATTTTTTTTTCACTCAACTTTTAAGATGTGCAGCTCATCATTTCATGCTGTAATCAAGGTGTGACAACAATAATATCATGTCATGCCACCCAGTTCTTTGGCTCCACCACCAATGTATTGCATAAAACCACTCAATTAGTCTTAGGTAATATGTGTGCATGTACATGTGCGTGTGTGTGTGTGCAGGTATAGATTTTTTTTTCTTTTACATCCTTGACTCACATTATATATGAAGTTCCCTATACTGCTCATGAAGCAGCTTCATTGTCTGGGGTAAATATCCAGGGTTTGTTGTCTCGCACCAAGAAGATTAAAGACATGGACACACGCAAGGAGTGAGTTTAGGAGCAGAGGTTTAATAGGCAAAAGAAAGAGAAAGGAGAGCAGTTTTCTCTCTCTTACCAGACAGAGGGGCATCTGAAAGGGAAAAGCTGGCCTGTGGTGGACCACAGCAGATTTTACAGGTAGGCTTGAAGAGGCAATGTCTGATTTATGTAGGGCCCATGGATTGGTTTGACCAGGTGTGACATTTACATAGTGTGTATTGAGAAATAATAACAGTTAATTTCTTTTGAATGTGCCATATAGATTAAGTGGCTTAATTTTATTTAATCCTCACTGCAACTATCTAACTGGATGTGGAGAAAGGGAAAGTAAGGAAGAGGAAGGGCTAAAAAAATGACTCTGCCAACTGGATGGGGAATGGTGAGCAGGAGCAGGGGTCACAGGGAGTGACTTCAGAGTTGGACCGGTTGGAATTGAAACGACAGCTTCGGAGGTGTAAGGTGACGGAACAGGTGAGTTACACCCTAATCTTATTATGCAAATGGGCTTTCCATTTGGCCAGTGCCATCTTGTCTGCTCCTTACTGTACGCATGGCTGGCAAAGAGAAGGGAAGATGGAGCCGCCATTGTGATCATGCCTAGTCCCAGGTAGCCTTTTCCTATTGGCACGACTGGTGGCATTCACCTGTGCAAGCTTCCAGCTTGCTTGTCTATGTCTGCAGCTTGATTTTACAGGCTGCTCTTTGTTAGAGAAGAAAATGATATTGGGGCTGCTTTTCATTAAAAGGAAAACATTACTGAGGACTTCCTTCCCCTCACTATCTGCCTAAATAATTTCTTTTTAACTCCTATATCATTGATTCCATATGACTTTGCATTGTGAGCATTTCTTACATTATAATGGTTGATATTTAGCTTATCTGCAGTTCTTGTCAATACAAATAATGCTGTGGATAAACTACCTTGGATGTCAATCTTTGTCTCTTGCGCCTCTACTATGAATGGGACTGAAAATTCCCCGTATGGTTAGTGTAGGATTGTGTGTAGTTTAGGGTAGCAGAGGCACTATATATCTTGTGACATATCTCACTCTATTCCATTAGTATCTTCATCTTGGAAATGAGAGCATACAGTTTCCCACTTACCTGGGTCCTCTGGATGTAGCTTGTCCAGGCCAGCGACTACATCTTTGCCTTCAAGAAATGAACACTTGCGTACGACCAACTCTTTTAATCTCGACAACTCCAGAATTTTCCTCTCAGTTTTGTTGTGGTTTACAATTGTGTAGGAGGGAAGTTAGAATTGCTTCCTCTTGGGAGAATAATCAGGCAGGGGCAGGAGATGTAAATGAAAGAGTAGAGGGACAGGCAAAGGGCAGAGGGGCTGCGGATCCATGATTTGCCCATGTTTGGGTCTGTATTCATTTCTGTATTCATTTCTGTTTGGCAGCAAGGCCCAGGTATCACTTAGGTAACCACTATTTTCAGTGTCTATCCATACGGTATTATATTCCATTCATATGCCATTCTATTTCAACTGCTATTTTCAATTCCATTCATATGCTATTATGAATGTATAATTGGTGGAGTTAGGTTCCTGAGAAAGCTGAAGGGCATGGAGGCAGAGTTCATAAACATGTTCATATCTTTCCTATTGAAATAATTCCAAGGCCAGGCCTGGTGGCTCACATTTGTAATCCCAGCACTTTGGGAGGCTGAGGCAGGAGGATCACTTGAGCTCAGAAGTTCGAGACCAGCCTGGGCAACATGGCAAAACCCTGTCTCTACAAAAGATACAAAAATTAGCCGGGCATGGTGGTACATGCCTGTAGCCCTAGCTACTCGGGAGGTTGAGGTGGGAGAATCACGTGAACCCAGGGGGCAGGGTTGCAGTGAGCCGAGATCACGCCACTGCACTCCGACCTGGGCAATAGAGCAAGATGCTGTCTCAAAAAAAAAAAAAAAAATTCACTTCATCTTGTAACCACAGTTCACTTGTCCTTCCTTCATGGCAGGGCTCTTCAAAGCAGGCAGCTGTACTTGTGTTCTTCACTTCCTCATCTCCCAAGATGTAGTTTCAATTCCAGCCAGTCCAACTCTGAAGTCATTCCCCATGACCCCTGCTGCTCCTCACCTTTCCCCATTCAGTTGGCAGAGTCATTATTTTAGCTGTTCCTCTTCCTTACTTCCCCTTTCTCCACATCCAGTCAATCATGAAGACCTTCTCAGTTTACCTCTTAAATTTATTTCACTTTACTCTCATTGTCACCACCTATAATGGTTTGCTATGGCTGCCATAACAAAGTATCACCAAGTGAGTGGATTAAATAACAGAAGCGTATTGTTCCATTGTCTCTTCTTGGCTAGAAGTGGAGGTGTTGGTGGGGTTGGTTCCTTCTGGGGGCTATGAAGGAAGGCTCTGCTCCAGCCCTCTCTCCTTGGCTGGTAGACAGCTAGCTTCATGATCATAGGTGTTCTCCTTGTATGTTTACATTGCCTTTCCCCTGTACCTGTCTGTGTCTCAATTTCCCCTTTTACCAAGGATACCAGTCATATTGGACTGGGACCCACCCTAATTATCTCATTTTACCTTGATTACCTTTGTAAAGATCCTGTCTCCAGGCTGGGCATGGTGGCTCACATCAGTAATCCCAGCACTTCGGGAGGCCCAGGCGGGTGGATCACTTGAGGTCAGGAGTTCAAGACCAGCCTGGCCAACATGGTTAAACCTTGTCTCTATTAAAAATGCAAAAAATTAGCCAGGTTTGGTGTCACACATCTGTAGTTCCAGCTACTCAGGAGCCTGAAGCAGGAGAATCACTTGAACCTGGGAGGCAGAGGTTGCAGTGAGCCGAGATCGCACCACTGCACTCCAGCCTGGGCAACAGAGCAAGACTCCGTCTCCAAAATAAATATATAAATAAATAAATAAACCCTATCTCCAAATGAGGTCACATTCTGAGGTGCTGGGGATGAGGACTTCAACATGGATTTTGGTGGTGGAGGGAGGACACAATACAACTCGTAACACTGCCTCTGTTTAACCCTTTAGTACTTCTCACCTATGTCGTTTCTTCGGGATAAGCTTAGGACTGTCCCTGCTTCCAGCATTGTCTTATTTCAACCCAGCCACTACTCTGCTGCCAGAAGATCTCATAATACTGCTGTGGCTGTTGGGATAAGCCAAGCTCCTCACCATGCCTAGCATGCTGTTTGTGTTCTGGGCCTTTGCTCTCCTTCCGTCTTACTTCCTGCTGCTCACATAGCATTGCTGCAGCCATCATGACCCTGTGGGATCATTGCCCTGCCTTTGGGCTTGGCTATGTGAAGTTTTTCCTGCCTGCGATGGTTTCTCTCCCTACACTCCCTGATTGAATGACTCATGTTGGGTCTTCAGGCCAATTGCAGCATTATCTCCTCTGAGAAAACCTTCCCTAATTCTGGTCCCTTTGCCATTCCCCTGTACTACAGTTTTATTTATTTATGAGCTTAGCCCCCTTACAAGATCCACATCACCAGGACATCTAGTTCAATGCCTTGTATACCAAAGGCACTCAAGACACATTTGTTGAACAAATGAATACATGAGTGAATAAGTCTTCATTTAGAAAATTGCAGTGTCAGGCCGGATGCAGTGGCTCATGTCTATAATCCCAGCACTCTGGGAGGCCAAGTCAGGCGGATTACCTGAGGTCAGGAGTTCGAGACCAGCCTGACCAACATGGTGAAACCCTGCTTCTACTGAAAATACCAAATTAGCTGGGCGTGATGGTGCACGCCTGTAATCCCAGTTCCTTGGGAGGCTGAGGCAGGAGAATTGCTTGAACCTGGGAGGCAGAGGTTGCGGTGAGCTGAGATTGTGCCATTGCACTCCAGCCTGGGCAACAGGAGTGAAACTCCATTTCAAAAAAGAAAGAAAGGAAGGAAGGAAGGAAAGAAGGAAGGAAGGAAAAAAGGAAAACAGCAGTGTTAGCTGAGTGCCGTGGTTCATGCCTGTAATCCCAGCACTTTGGGAGGCCGAGGTGGGCGGACCACCTGAGGTTGGGAGTTTGAGACCAGCCTGGCCAACATGGTGAAACCCTGTCTCTACTAAAAATACAAAAAAAAAAAAAAAATTAGCCAGGCATGGTGGCACGTGCCTGTAATCCCAGCTACTTGGAAGGCTGAGGCAGGAGAATCCTTTGAACCCAGGGGGCGGAGATTGCGGTGAGCTGTGACTGTGACATTGCACTCCAGCCTGGGCAACAAGAACAAAACTCCATCTCAAAAGAAAAAAAAAAAAGAAAATTGAAAATTGCAGTGTCACAGTGAGTAAGCAGGCTAGTGGTAACAGGAACAAGGAGAGGCACAATAAAAGGTGTGGTAATTGGAGTGGGTTTATAATTCTCACCTGAGGAGAAACACGGCATTTCGGCTGGTGTTGCTGCTCCAGGGAAAGTTCTTCTACTCCACCGACTCTCTCTTTTCCTGGTAACATGGCCAGCAAGAAAGTAATTACAGTGTTTGGAGCAACAGGTAAAAAGTCTTTAATTTTTAGGCCCTGATGACTTTGCTCACTCTCTTGTGTTCCTGTTTGTAATTTCAGAGCCTGCAAGAGTGGGCTGAACAAAGAGCCGTTTGGAAGAAAATTTTTAAAGTATCCTATTGCTTTAGTTCTTGATGTGGTAAAGGGGTGGCATGATTTGATTTGTAACTTGATCTCAGCAGGACAAGGACACTGACGTTGTCTCCCTTTCCCAATCATGGGGCTAACTTGTTGGTGTAAGTTTCGTTTCAACATAAGCTGTACTCTGAAGTCTTCTCTCCACTCACTTCCTAATAAGCAAAAGGTACAAGTGTGAGAGGCCTGTGGGTTTGTAGTGAATATCCAGCGCCTGACCAATCTTCCAGGGGGTCTGCAAGGATGGAGTGTGTGGGGAGTTTACCTTCCTGGCTCCCTTACAGTTTGTTCCTCAACAGTCAGGGCCATCTTTGCACAATGTAAATCAAATCAGGTTATTCTCCTTCAATCTATTCTCATTTCAGCCTCCCAAGGATCCATGTGAAACTGTCAGATCATGTCAGGTCTCTGCTCAAAACCCTCTAAAAACTCCCAGCCCCATGGCACTCCCAGTAAAGTGCAAAGTCCTGCTAATGCCCTGCAACAGGGCCTTGGAAATGCCTTGTCAGACCTCTCTTCCTGCCACTCTTCCCTCACTTTGCTTCATTACCCTGGCTTTCTTGCTGTTCCTCCAAAACACCCCCACAATACAAGGCTCTGGCCTTTGTATTGGCTGCTTCTTCAACCTAGAATGATCTCCGTCTGTTACTATCTTATCTTGAATTGTAGTTCCCGTAATCCCCACATGTCATAGGAGTCACCAGGTGGAGATAAATGAATATTGGGGGTGGTTCCCCCATCCTGTTCTTATGATAGTGAAACAGGAGAGTTCCCTGGTCCCCTGCCACAGGATGTGCGATGGGGGTGTGGCTCTCTGTTCTGCCACTGCAAGCTCAAACCCTTTAAGGGAGGGGGAGCATGCATACAGGCAGGTGCATGAACTGGGGCAAGTGCTTTTGGGCTCCCGCCCTATGGCAGCATCTAAGGGTGGGTGTCTATAACTTTCAAAGCCCAAGTGTGCATGTATTACAGTGCACTCTTTTAGCCTTGCCATCCACAGGTGGTTTAAGTGTTAACCAGCTCAGTGAATCCTCTGCCTTTTTGCAAAGGAGGGGGCTAGTGTGACAGTTTTCTGTATCCCAATCTCTCATCCAGCATCCCAGAAGAATCGGTCACACATGGACTTGAAGGATGAATGCAGGGGTTTTATTGAGTGGTGAAAGTGGCTCTCAGTGGGATGGATGGGGAGCTAGATAGGGGATGGAGTAGGAATATGATCTTCCCCTGGAGTTTGGCCAATTCTCCGAACATCCCCAGCCAAACTCCTCCTGACATTCCTTCTCTTCTCTCCTCTGCTGCACTATTCTGTTGTCTGTCTCCTTGTCTCCTAGTCTGCTTCTGGAGCCTGGGGTTTGGGGCTTATATGGGTACAGGATGGGGGCATGGCAGGCCAAAAGGCAACTTTTGGGGTGCAAAAACAGGAATGCTTATTTCTCACTTAGGGCAGCAGGTATCCAGGTTTGAGGGTGGGGCCTTTGCCAGGAACTGCCCTCTTCTAACCAGTATTTCCCTGTCTCCTGTTCGTATCAATAGTGAGTTAGTTCTCACGAGATCTGGTGGTTTTACAAGGGTCTTCCCCATTCACTGGGCACTCGTTCTTTCTGCTGCCACCCTGTGAAGTGGTGTTTCCTGCCATGATTGTAAGTTTCCTGAGACCTCCCTAGCCATGTGAAACTGTGAGTCAATTAAACCTCTTTTCTTTATAAATTACCCAGTGTTGGGTATTTCTTCACAGCAGCGTGAGAAAGGGCTAATACAGTTACCCACTGCTTTCTTCCTCATGTCATTCAGGTCTCTGGTTAGATGTTACCTTTTCCATGAGGACTTTCCAGACCTCTATATTTGAAATTGCAACTCTGCTTCCACCCTGCCCATATCTGGCTCCCTTCCTTTCTTGATTTCTTCTATTTCTGCCTGTCTTTCCACACTAGAATATAAGCTCTATGAGAACAGGAATTTGTCTGGAGGAAGTCAAGGGCTAAAACAGGAAGCAGAGCGAAATAAATTATCAAAAATCAAAAGTCAAGTATGATATTAAAAGGAGAAGAAGAGGCGATGGGGTCAGGGATGACTCTATTAAGCGTTAGGGTGATGGTAAAGATGTTGGCTTTTCCTGAAAGAGAAAAGTGATCAAAGGGTTTGGTTTTTTCAGTGTGTTTGTGTTTAGCTACAGGGTCTCACTGTGTTGTCTGGGTTGGAGTATAGTGACTCTCACAGGAGCCATCGTAGTACACAGCCTCAAACTCCTGGGCTCAAGTGATCTTCCCGCCTCAGCCTCCCAAGTAGCTGGGATGGCAGGATTGCAACAGCATGCAGGCATTAAAGGATTTTGAGCAGAGGAATGACATGACTTTGGTGTTAAAAGGATCATTTTAGCTTATGCTTTGTGAAGGGACTATAGAGGGTAAGAACTGAAGCAGGGAGACCTGTTAGGAGGCGGTTGCCATAAAATAGGCAAGATGATAGTAGCTTAGACCAGGGTGGTAGCAATGAGGTTGTGGAGAGTGGTTAGATTCTGTGGAGGTTTTAAAAGCAGAGTTGGCAGGATTTGGTTTTGGAGCAGACATCAGGGTTATGAAGGGAAGAGTTGAAAATGACTCTGAAGTTTTATGGCTTGAGTAACTGGAAGAATGAAGTTGAGATTCACTGAAATATGGGAGACAGTGGGGAGGAGGAGAAGGTCAGGAGCTCCTTAAACTTGAATTGGTCTCATTAAACTTGAATTCCCAACTAGGCATCCAGAGACTGGGGAGGCAGTTGGATAAGATTTTTGGGAGTGGCCAGTCACTCTATTAATTCTGTCTCCTAAATCTCTCTCAGATTTTTTCCATTCTCCCTCTTAGAAGCTTTTTCCACACTCATTTGCCTTCTCTCCATGTTCTGCCTTTAAACAGAATCATCTTTCAAATCTGATTAATTTTTCAAACCTTGTAGCCAACTACTACCACCTTGTATCACATTCCCGTTCTCCTTCATTACTGCCCAAGATGTAAGCCCCTCTAGTTTTTAGTCTCAACCCTATATTTCTCCATGCATCCTTTCCCTGACCCCACATCTCAGACTCCCTTGCCTCCAAAACCTTCTCATGGTACCCTTCTGTTCCAACATCAACATCTTGCTAAATGCCCCCTCAGCCTCTTTGAATAAATGGTCAATTGACCTTTCTCTCTCAATCCTTCCTGCTCATCATCACCACATCCAGTTAATCACCAAAAATCCTGTTGATATCATCTTGTCAAGGAAAATAGTGAAAGACTTTGAAATGGGAAAAAAAGACTGGGTGTCCTTGCCCAAGGCACCATTATCAGTTTTGTGAGCCTTTCCTTGTTTTTAAGATATTTATAACTCTATAAATTGTAGCAAATAGATAATAACGCAACAGATTCTTAACCATAGAAATGCAAATGAAGGCCAGATGCAGTGGCTCCCGCCTGTAATCCTAGCACTTTGGGAGGCCGAGGTGGGCTGATCATGAGGTCAGTAGTTCTAGACCAGCCTGGCCAATGTGGTAAAACCCCGTCTCTACTGAAAATACAAAAATTAGCAAGGCATGGTGGCGCATGCCTGTAGTCCCAGCTACTTGGGAGGCTAAGGCAGGATAATTGCTTGAACCCAGGAGGTGGGAGTTACAGTGAGCCGAGACTGTGCCATTGCACTCCAGCCTGGGCAACAGAGCAAGACTCTGTCTCAAAAAAAAAAAAAAGAAATGCAAATGAATTGTGTCTGGTGGACCACAATCGATCATTGCCTAGAGGATATTGACTGGTTTTGTCCCTAATTGTACATTCGTTTTAGCATTTTGGCATTCTTGATTGCCTACATATATGTGTGTTCTTTGAATTTTTCGTATAACATTGTACTAGTTCCCTCATTAATTAATGAGTTAAATAGAATTTTGACACTTTCATTTTATGTGTGTATAAATTATTATTTACTCTTTAAAAATGTATCCTTTAATATTCTGAGTATCTCTTAAATTTGCCTTATTCCCTCCACCTGAATAACCCCTTCTAGCACAGGTCATCATCAACCTTTACCTAGATTATTTTAAAGCCCACTAATTGTACCCTTGTCTGTGGTCTCTCTATCCTATTCCACACTCTCTATTAACCAGAGCGCTTTCCCAGCATGTAATTCTGAACATACTGCTTAACTTCGTAAAATCTTCTGTTCCCAGAACAAAGTGCAGCCCTGTAGACCTATTTTACTTCTCTAGCCTCATGTGTGACATTGACCTGCAGTTCTCAGTCAGACTGATTTCAGTTCTCTGAATTCACTGCCTTCTCTCTCGCCTCTGGAATAAAGCACTTGCAATCCGCTTTGCATGCAACACACTCCACATGCCTCTCCTAATTCTTGCCTGTTCTTTAGGGCTCACTTCTGTTACCACTTCCTTCAGGAAACCTCCCTCTAGTCTGGGTTAGATGCTCCATTTAAGTCCTCCTCTGGAGCCTGTATTCTCTCAATCCCTTTCCCCCTCCCCTAATAGCACATATTACATGATATTATAATTGCTCTTTAATGATCTCCCCTGCTAGTCTGTAAGCTCTGTGCAGGCAGGTGCCACGTTCAGGTTTGAATCCTGAAATCCTTACCTAAGCAGCTATAGGATCTGGGGTAAATCCTTGAACTCCTTAGGCCATAATCCAACCTATTAATAATGTCTTTCATAAATTTTATCGTATATCCAACATGTTCAAACCTGCTATTGTTTACCACTACATCCCCAGGGCATAGCACAGCATGTAAGAGTCATTCACAAACATGGTCCCAGGACAATAATAGAAACTTTCCTATAAAAATCCTTTTCAAGGACCATGACCCACCCCACCTACTCCAGCACCCCCCAACCCCCTGCCAAAAGCACAAATTATACTCAAATAGAAGGTACTTCAGTTTGTTTAGGTTTTTATTTTATAAAGTCAGAGTAAAATATTCAACTCACCTGCTTTTTAATTGTGAATGATTCCATATAATGGCCATCCTAGGAGGGATGAAAAAAGGTTTTGTTTTATTTTCTCTAATTTATGAAGAAAAAAAGGTTTATTTGATTAATGATTCTAGTGGCTGGGAAGTTCAAGATTGTGCATCTGCATCTGATGAGGGCCTCAGGCTGCTTCCACCCATGATAGAAGGTAAAGGGGAGCTGGCATGTGCAGAGATCACATGGAGAGAGAGAGGAAGCAAGAGGAGAAGGGTGGAGGTGCCAGGCTCATTTTAACAACCAGCTCTCAGGAACTAATAGATGAGAACTCACCCCTGAGGGAGGGCATTAATCTGTTCATGAGGGATCTGCTCCCATGACCCAAACACCTCCAATTAGGCTCCAATATTGGGAATCACATTTCAACATGAGGTTTGCAGGGGACAAATATCCAAACCAGCACCCAGTGTTCTGCAATTTCACAGTGATGTGCATAAAGTGGGAATTCATTTGTCAATGTATTGGGCACTTAGTGACCTCTCAATTTGGAAGCTCAGTTAATATCCTTGGACTCAGAGAAATTACTATTTTCTTAGATAATTTCAATACCTCCATCTGTTTTCTCATTCTGTAATTCCCCTGGCTTGATCTTCTAATTATTTTCCTCCTTCTTGCTTGCTCTCTTTCTCTTGTCTCTTCTTCTCCTCTTTTTGGGCTGATATAGCATCTGGAATGCAAAACCTTTTCTAATCTCAGAGGATATTAATTCAGAGTCTTGCTCTGTCACCCAGGCTGGAGCACAATGGCGAGATCTTGGCTTACTGCAACCTCTGCCTCCCGGGTTCAAATGCTTCTCCTGCCTCAGCCTCCCAAGTAGCTGGGATTGTAGGCACTCGCCATCACACCTGGCTAATTTTTGTATTTTTAGTAGAGATGGGGTTTTACTATGTTGGCAAGACTGGTCTCAAACTCTGACATCAAGTGATCAGCCAGTCTCGACCTCCCAAAGTGCTGGGATTACAGGATTAAGCCATTGTGCCCGGCTCCAGAGGATATTAATTCTTTTTAATTTTTTTTATTCAGTTCTCTGGACTGTTTCTGTTTCCATCAGTTTGTTTATTTTGGGTTTGCCTTTCATGTTGGAGGCTTTCCTCAAACGTGTGATGAACTTTGACTGTTCATATTTACTAGTAGACAATTTACTATGAAATTTACTATGAAACCCTGTGTGCAAAGACAGAGCTCACTGAATAACCCCTGACCCTCCTATAGGGTTATCAGTGGTGTATTAACTGGGGTCCCACAAGAAACAGGTGCCACACTCCTTCAGAGAAGCTGAGAACAATTTAAAAACAGTGGACAAGGAAGACAGCAATAAGGAAAAAGTAAGCAACAAGAGGAAGGAGAAAAGGGCAAGAGAGATGACCAGAACTTGGGGACAGTAGCGATGTGAAAGGGGTCATCTCTCTTGCCCTTGGGTCTCTGGCTGATGTCTCTCATTGCCTAGACCCAACCTGAGGGCACGAGAGGGACTCCATGAGGATCAACTGTTGAGTGCACTAAGTAGAACAGAGAAAGTAAATATGGAGGTGGAAGCACAAAAAAGTATCCAGGACAGGTATCCAGCCAATGTGATGGAGGAACCCAAATGTTAGTAACCCAACATAGCACCTGGCCTATATCACAGGATATTCCATAAGTATTTGCAGGGTGAATAAATCAGGCAAGTAATGATCATATCATAATCGGTCTCGAATGTGGTAAAAAATGTTTACAAGTTTTTAAATTTCTAAAAAAATATTAACCAGAGCCAGGTACAGTGGCTCATGCCTGTAATCCCAGCACTTTGGGAGGCCGAGGTGGGTGGATCACCTGAGGTCAGGAGTTCGAGACCAGCCTGACCAACATGGTGAAACCTCGCTTCTACTAAAAATACAAAATTAGCTGGGCGCATGCCTGTAATCCCAGCTACTCGGCAGACTGAGGCAGGAGAATCGCTTAAACCCAGGAGGCAGAGGTTACAGTGAGCTGAGATTGCACCATTGTACTCCAGCCTAGGCAACATGAACAAAACTCCGTCTAAAAAAAAAAATATATATATATATATATAAAAAATATGTGTGTGTGTGTATATATATATATATATAGAGAGAGAGAGAGAGAGAGAGAGAGCGCGAGAGAGAGAGAGCACAGGAACTTCTTTTGATGAATTGTCTGAATAACCCCAACATAAGATCTACAACCAGGTAAAAGTAGAATAATTGCCCTTGTTGAATCTGGAGAACCTATGGGCATCCCTAATTTTGACACTCTGCTCACTTGCCCTTCTTGTTGTCTCAAGCCTCTCCCACTTCTCTCTTCCTATGTCCTTTGCAAAAATGCCTCCTAAGAGGCCACAAAGAACTTAGTTTGAAAGCCGTGGGGATATGTGAAGTGCCATGTAGCACCCCCTGAAGTAGGTACTACAGCAGCTCTACTCTGAATCATGGGATTTCTGGCCTTCTTTCAGTGAACATTCTTCTTGATCCTTCCTGTGTTTCTTCTTCCCTTGACCCTGCAGGAGCTCAAGGTGGCTCTGTGGCCAGGGCAATTTTGGAGAGCAAAAAATTTGCAGTGAGAGCAGTGACCAGGGATGTAACTCGACCAAATGCCCTGGAGCTCCAGCGCCTTGGAGCTGAGGTGGTAAAAGGTGACCTGAATGATAAAGCATCCGTGGACAGTGCCTTAAAAGGTGCCTATGGGGCCTTCTTGGTGACCAACTTCTGGGACGCTCTCAACAAAGATAAGGAAGTGTTTCAGGTAGAAACCAAATTGTTTCTTTTTTCCTTTGAGTCCTTTCCTCTTACCCTCCCTAGCAGCTTCTTTCCTTCCTAGAAGGGGACAGGCCTTCAATCTGGGCAAATATATATCTTACATCCCCTTTGGCATTTATAAAAAACATGTACTTTAAGTACTTGTTAAAGGTATCTTTGTAAAATTAATGTTATGTAGCATCTGTCTAGGTCTCAAGACCTTGAATATTCCAGAGTGACCGTTTAATGAAGCTAGTCATTGGATTATCTACTTCTCACCATTTGTTTGTACATGGCATGGGGGGTGGTAGCAAGGGTACCCCCGAATTTGAAGCTAGTCTGAGAGTGAAATGGAAAGAATAAAGATGTAATTTACACTTCATTTACACTTCAGATAGATAATTTGGGGATGGGAACATAGAAAAAGAAATAAACGAGCAAACAAACCCACAGTGAATTAAATTCAGGGAAAATGAAAGTTTGTAGAAAAAGTAAACGTAGGCTGGGCGCAGTGGCTCACGCCTGTAATCCCAGTACTTTTGGAGGCCAAGGCGGATGGATCACCTGAGGTTGGGAGTTTGAGACCAGCCTGAACAACATGGTGAAACCCTGTCTCTACTAAAAATACAAAATTAGCCAGGCGTGGTGGTGCATGCCTGTAATCCCAGCTAATTGGGAGGCTGAGGCAGGAGAATCGGTTGAACCTGGGAGTTGGAGGTTGCAGTGAGCCAAGATTGGACTATTTCTCTCCAGTGTGGGCAACAAGAGTGAAACTCCGTCTCAAAAAAAAAAAAAAGAAAAAAGAAAAAAAAAGAAAAAGAAAAAGAAGAAATGAATGTAACCATAGAATATCACATAACTCAGCTTTAGCTGTGTGTAAGCACTAAATATTGATCTAGCCAAAAACAATGATTGGGAGAATGAAAAAAGGGAATTGTGTATATGTGTGGTGGTGGTGGTGGTGGTGGACAACGTGAGTGAGTAAGAGAGGAGACAGAGCGAGTGAGTGAGGGAGAATAATTAAATCCTCATCTTTCATAGTAGGAATTTAGTAGATATTTCAAATTGAAAAAATCGAGAATTAGTGGTATAAACATTTACAAAAATAAACAGCTAAATGAAATTGAAGTGTTACTTCTGGAGAACAGTAATCAGCATGGGGCACAGGGAACTTATTTTATTTTATTTGTTTTATTTTATTTTTTTAGAGACAGGGTCTCACTATGTTACCCATGCCGGTCCTGAACTCCTGGGCTCAAGTAATCCTCTCATCTCAGCCTCTTGGGATTTTCTTTTTCACTGTAAGATCCGCTCCCTCCCAACCCATGACAGTACTATTTGAAATTTTAAACTATGTATGTGTATACATTTGAGAAAAAATGAAGATTACATTTAAAAAAATATAATGGATGGTATTAGCCACTTGAAGAAATGGTACAATTCAAAAAATCGAGAGCAGGATCAAACTGTTCCAGGAATGTCTCTTGAATTAATGATACCATTCACAGCCTGTGTTTTAGTGATAAACTCTGGAAGGGCTTATTTTAGGAGACTTGAATTCTACTTCTGATATTCACTTACTAGAAACGTAGGGGTACAAGTCACCTCTCTGCTTCACTGGTTAGCCTCTGCTAACCCAGATTAATTATGTCTTCTCTGCCTGCTGCATGCGGTTTTGTCAGGAAAAGTAAGAAAGAAAACGCAAAAAGGAAGGAAAAAAAGAAGAGAGAGATGAAAGTGCTTTGGAAAATTTGGACCTAAAAACACACAAAAAAGAGAATATATATACTTATGTGTTTGTGTGTGTGTATATACGCCTCCATTATGCCCTCAATATCCAAATGGTGTGTAGATATAGTCCATTACTAGACACAATTATAGAAAATAAATAAATGCGATTGCGGTTGATCACAAAGACACTGAGCCCAGAGAAAAAGGCCATCTCTTCCTGGCCAGTTGCCACCAGGTTGCTTCTTAGCTTCAGACAGGTATCTGGGGTACCTTTCTCCTCTGCCCCCTCCCTAATTTCTTATTCTACTACTCCCCCACCTCCGGTGTTCTGCTGACAGCCCCCATGGGAGCAGGCTGAGGAGTTGGGGGTTTTGGAGTGGAGCCTCTGCTCAGCAATGCTGGTGTGGTGGCCTCTCATAAGGTAAGTTGAATATATTTTGAGGCTGGTAGAGCTTCCTCTCCATAGGGATGAGGGTAATAAGAAAAGGAGCGGGTGGGCCTGGCGCCGTGGCTCAGGCCTGTAATCTCAACAGTTTTGGAGTCCGAGGTAGGCAGATGACTTGAGATCAGGAGTTTGAGACCAGCCTGGCCGTATGGTGAAACCCCATCTCTATTAAAAAATACAAAAAACTAGCTGGGCGTGGTGGTGCCCACTTGTAATCCCAGCTACTCGGGAGGCTGAGCCAGGAGAATCACTTGAATCCAGGGGGCGGAAGTTGCAGTGAGTGGAAATCATGAGACTCTGTCTAAAAAAAAAAAGCAGGGGGCAGGGAGGGAGAGGGGAGTGGAGGAGATTCTGCTCTGAATATCTGTCCGAATGCAAATACAAATACAGCGGCCTATATGAGGATTTACTTTTGACCCTCAGGGGAAGCTGGTGGCAGACACTGCCAAGCATCTGGGTCTGAAGCACGTGGTTTACAGCGGCCTGGAGAACGTCAAGCGGCTGACGGATGGCAAGCTGCAGGTGCCGCACTTTGACAGCAAGGGCGAGGTGGAGGAGTACTTTTGGTCCACTGGCATCCCCATGACCAGTGTCCGCGTGGCGGCCTACTTTGAAAACTTTCTCACGGCATGGCGGCCCGTGAAAGCCTCTGACGGAGATTACTACACCTTGGGTAAAACGAAATGAAAGCTCACCGGGCACCTGGTTGCCCTCCTCTCCACTCACCTGCCTCCCTCTTTCCCTTCTTGCCCCTCTGCAGTGGACACCTACCATTTGAGTACCTTCTATGTGTTTAGCTCTGTGTGAAGTGCTGAGAAGGATGCCAAATTGTCCTAGGCTTCTCTAGGGCACTACACTAAATTGCTCTTCTAGGGCAGAGAACTAGATCTGGGATCAGAAGCACAAAGGGTTACATTTCCAATCTTAACATACTGAACCTCCTTAATGTAAGTACTGGAGTTAGCTATGTGACCTCCAACCTCAGTTTCCTCAGGTTATTTTTATTTTTATTTTTTGAAATGGAGTCTTGCTCTGTCACCCAGTCTGAGTGCAGCAGCATGATCTTGGCTCACTGCAACCTCCACAGCCTGGGTTCAAGCGATTCTTGTGCCTCAGCCTCCTGAGTGGCTGGGATTACACGCACCTGCCACCACACCTGGCTAATTTTTGCATTTTTAAATAGATACAGGGTTTCACCATGTTGACCAGGCTAGTCTCAAACTCCGGAACTCAAGGGATCCGGCCAACTCAGCCTCCCAAAATAATGGGATTACAGGTGTGAGCCACCATGGCTGGCAGTTTCCTCAGGTTTAATGGGAAAATTGGACAAGATGACTTTTTTTTTTTTTTTTTTGAGTCTGGGTCTCTGCTGCCCAGGCTGGAATTCTGTGGGTCTTTCGCCCATACTGGGTTTCATTGCTCACTGTGCAGCCTCGAACTTTTGGGCTCAAGCATCTTCCTACCTCAGCCTCCTGAGTAGCTAGGACTACAGGGGTATACCATCACATCTGGCCAATTCTTATTTTATTTTATTTTTGTAGAAATGGGGTCTCTCTTTGTTGCCCAGGCTGGTCTTGACCTCCTGGGCTTGAGTGATCCTCCCGCCTCTGCCTCCCAAAGTGCTGTGATTACAGGTGTGTGCTACCATGCCCAGCCTCAGGATGACTTCTAAGAGCCCTTCTAGCTCATCCATCTGACCTTCTGTGGCAACAATGGAGGAAAAGTGTTCTTCTGATCTGGGTCCCATGGTCAGAATTAGAGCTTAGAGGGACTGTGACCTGCCTGGGAGACAGGTTCCCAGGCCCTACCTGCACAGAGTCCAATTCCATAGGTCTGGGTTGACACCTGGGAGTTTTAACAAGGACTCCAGGTAATTCCAATGCTGCTGGTCCACTGGCTGGCATTCCCCCTCCCTTTGGGGACACTTTCTGTGGCCATGGTCAGAGTTGGCCTTTGTGCAGTAGATGGAATGTGGAAATACCAATGACAACAATTCAGGCTTTCTTCCTTGATTCAGAATTAACACTCATCAGAAGCTGGGAGGGGTGGCCTGTGGTCCCAGCTACTCAGGAGGCTTAGGTGACAGGATTGTTTGAAATAGAATGAGGGACGGGAGGGTAGTAGAAGGTGAGGTCAGAACTAACAGAGGGTCTGGTTGTGTAAGCTTTGTAAACAACTAGCTTTTCCTCTGAGAGACATAGAGAGCTATCAGAAGGTTCTGAGCAGACAGGGCCAGGTGCAGTGGCTCACGCCTGTAATCTTAGCACTTTGGGAGGCCGTGGCAGGCAGATCACTTGAAGCCAGGAGTTTGAGACTGGCCTGGCTAAGATGAGGAAACCCCGTCTCTACTAAAAGTACAAAATTTAGCTGGGTATGGTGGTAGGTGCTTGTAATCCCAGCTACTGGGGAGGCTGAGGCAGGAGAATTACTTGAACCTGGGAGGCAGAGGTTGCAGTGAGCTGGGATTGCACTACTGCACTCCAGCCTGGGTGACACAGCGAGACTCCATCTCAGAAAAAAAAAGAAGGTTCTGAGCAGATGTAACGTTCACCTGAGCTGAGTTTTTTACAGGGTCACTCTGATTTTTATGTTGAAGAGACTATGAAAGGGCAAGAGTTTGGCTGGGCGCAGTGGCTTACACCTGTAATCCCAGCTCTTCGGGGGACTGAGGCTGGTGGATCATGAGGTCAGGAGTTTGAGACCAGCCTCGTCAAGAAAGTGAAACCCCGTCTCTGCTAAAAATACAAAAATTCGCTGAGCATGCGTGCCTGTAATCCCAGCTACTCGGGAGGCTGAGGCAGGAGAATTGCTTGAACCCAGGAGGCGGAGGTTGCAGTGAGCTGAGATCATGCCACTGCACACTCTAGCCTGGGTGACGGAGCAAGACTCTGTCTCAAAAAAAATTTTTTTTTTCATATTTTTAGTAGAGACGGGGTTTCACCGTATTAGCAAGGATGCTCTCGATCTCCTGATCTCGTGATCTGCCCGCCTCGGTCTCCCAAAGTGCTGGGATTAAAGGCATAAGCCACTTCACCTTGGCTGTTATAGCATTTCTGACAGGCTGCCTGGACAACATGGTGAAACACTGTCTGTACTGAAAATACACAAATCAGCCTGGTATGGTAGTGGGTGCCTGTAATTCCAGCACTTTGGGAGGCCAAGGCGGGCGGATCATGAGGTCAGGAGATCGAGACCATCCTGGCTAACACGATGAAACCTTGTCTCTACTAAAAATACAAAAAATTAGCTGGGTTTGGTGGCAGGCGCCTGTAGTCCCAGCTACTCAGGAGTCTGAGGCAGGAGAATGGGGTGAACCCGGGAGGCAGAGCTTGCAGTGAGCAGAGATCGCGCCACTACACTCCAGCCTGGGCGAAAGTGCAAGACTCCGTCTCAAACAAAAACAAAAACAGAAACAAAAAAACAAAAAAAAAGAAAGGGCAAGAGTGGAAACAAGGAGACAAATTTTGCAACAACTCAAGTCACGAATGATGGTGGCTTGGACCAGGGTGGTAACATTGAAGATGATGAGAAGTGGCCAGATTTTGTACATATCGTACATATGATTTCCAAAGAAAAAAAACAGGATATGGGATGTGAGAGAAGTGTCAAGGCTGACTGCAAGATTTGTGACCTGAGAAATCAGAATGATAGAGTTGCCATTAGCTGAGGTGGGAGGCTGTAGGGAAGTTGTTGGGGAGTGTAGTTCAGTTTGGGGTCTGTTGAGTTTAAGATATCTATGGAACAGTCAAGTAAGGATTTGAGTATGTAGTGGGACACATGAGTCTGGAATTCGGCAGAAGTTTTGGCTGGAGATATGTTTAATCATATTTTACATACAGCAGATATTTAGTAAATGGTTGCTCTTGTTAATCAATATCCAGACACTGTAGTATTCTCTCTTTTTTTTTTTTTGAGATGAAGTCTTGCTCTGTTACCCAGGCTGGAGTGCAGTGGCACGATCTCGGCTCACAGCAACCTCTGCCTTCTGGGTTCAAGTAATTCTCCTGCCTCAGCCTCCGGAGTAGCTGGGATTACAAGCACGCATCATCACATCTGGCTAATTTTTGTATTTTTAGTAGAGACAGGGTTTTGCCATGTTGGCCAGGCTGGTCTCGAACTCCTGACCTTAGGTGACGTGCTCGCCTCGGCCTCCCAAAGTGCTGGGATTATGGGTGTGAGACACTGCACTCGACCTGTAATTTCTCAAACAAAACCTTGTAACTGTGTATAGATTGTGGCCACTGGGTTTTACATTGCCTTTCCACACCTTTTGTTTAAGTGATTGATTAGTTTGGGTTGGTGGGACCTACCAAGGATGTGATATAATTAACTATTTATCTTTTTCTATTTTTTTTTTTAAATTAGCTGTACCAATGGGAGATGTACCAATGGATGGTATCTCTGTTGCTGATATTGGAGCAGTGGTCTCTAACATTTTTAATTCTCCAGAGGAATTTTTAGGCAAGGCCGTGGGGCTCAGTGCAGAAGCACTAACAGTACAGCAATATGCTGATGTTTTGTCCAAGGTTTTGGGGAAGAAAGTCCGAGATGCAAAGGTGAGTTCTTAGGGGACATCCATGTGATCACAAGAGACTACCTTGGTTAACATTCCACTGACTTACAAATTTTGGTAGACTGTGGATTTAGGCAGGATTGAACTTAAACTTTCAGAAGAAATTGAGAAGGACTGTGGTTGCATAAATCTAACTTCGTTGATTGCAGCAGTAGAATCTCTCCCATACGGCTTTATTTCTTTGGCTTAGGGTTAATTGACTTGTAACAGTAAAATTACTTTTGAGTGGAAAGAACTTGGAATGTGAAGATTGAGATACAGCCTTTTCACACACACAATCCCAACTCCTCTCATAAGCCCTTGTTGCTGACCACTTCGGTCGGCCAGAACTAGCTGATGTGGAACAAGGCACTTAGCTTCATTGAGCCTCAGCTTCCTCAGTCGCAAAGTGGGGAATGATAGTATCTACTTCGGGTGTTCCTGTGAAAATTACAGAGAATATATTTAAAGGGCTTATCATAGTGTTTGGCACATAGCAGTGATGTATCGAGTCTCTGTGATGAACCCAGTGCTACTTTAAGGAATTTGCAGCAAGGTTGGAGTGAAAATGTTGATGCCCATCAAGTCACCATGATCATTATAAGACATAACTCTATAGGTGCTTAATTGTGTTGTTCAGACTATCAGTGCTATAGGTGACCAGAAAACAGTGGAAGAAGGTTTCATGGAAGACGTGGGCTTGAGTTGGTCCTTGAGGGAACACGACTGTGTATAGATAGAGGGGGCACCAAGAAGGCTGGCCTGGCTGATTCTAGAATAAACACAACAAAAAAGAGGCAGTATGGGAAGGAGGCAGATTCTGGCTCTGCTCCTATCCTTGGTAATTTACTTAACCCCTCTCCATCTCAGTTTCTTCATATGTTCCAAAAAAAGTTGTTATACCTCCTTCATGGGATCATTGTGAGGATGAAATGAGATCTGTACAGCAGGTGCTTGGCACTGGGTCTGGCACTTAGTAAGCCCTCAACAACTGATCATGCTATAAATCATGCAGGAATGGCCTCCTTGTGTGGGTGGCTGCCTTCTTGGGCTTGGGGGTAAGTTATTTTCTCCAAGGAATTGTGCCTGGCCAGAACAGACTTTTTACAGAAGAGTAAGAATTAGTGATATTGAGCATTACCAGCCATTTCCCCAAGCAGGTATTGATAAGAGGAAAGGAAAAGAAAACAGGCTGTTTTCAGGGTACAATGATAGAGTTGAGTAGTTCCAATAGAGACCTCATGGCCCACAAAGCCTACAATATTTATGTCTAGGCCTTTGAAGAAAAGTTTGTTTCCCAGCACTTTGGGAGGCCAAGGAGGGTGGATCACAAGGTCAGGAATTTGAGACTAGCCTGGCCAACATGGTGAAACCCCGTCTCTACTAAAAATACAAAAATTAGCTGGACATGGTGGTGGGCACCTGTAATCCCAGCTACTGGGGAGGCTGAGGCAGGAAAATTGTTTGAACCCAGGAGGTGGAGGTTGCAGTGAGCCAAGATTGCGCCATCGCACTCCAGCCTGGGCGACAAGGCGAGACTCCGTATCAAAAACAAAACAAAAATAAAAAATAAAAAAAGGTTTGTTGACATATGTTCTAGAACATTTCCTAGAATTAGGAATAGAAGTTTGGATCAGCAGCTCTTGTGCTTCTAGAGGGGGTATCTAGATTCCCAATTCAGCCTCGGGTACTGAAGTTGTGAGGAGGCAAAGGATTTTTTTTTTTTTTTTTTTCTGGAAAACCAGTGTAGGAGTCAATCCAGCCACAAAACCACATCTGGTTATCTCATTGAAGCCACACACACATTTCTTGGAGAGATTAAGTTACTCCTATACCCAAGAAGGCAGCCACCCACTCAAAGATGGGCTCACAAGAGGATCTGCAAGGTTCCTTGTACCTGGGTGCACACTTACTTCTCAGTGACCCTTCTCCCAGGCCATTTGCATTTGGGTCATATATTCGTTGTGTCTCGTGGGTTTGAACTCTGTAAGGAAGGAGAGAGAGAGTGTGAGTGTAGGGGATGAGTGTGTGGATTGATTCTCAGAGGATGCAGTAGACATTGTTCTGAATTGCTCAGAACCTTCCAAGCATCTATTAGTCACATACTTGGTCCCTGACTCTTCTTGGTATACAAATTGCTTTATAATGCAGCTGAAGCTCCTCTGGCACCACAAGCTGTAGGGGATCAGAGGCTGGAACTTCTATAGAATGGTCTGACAATTCCGGGGAAGGGTACATCTCGCCACAAGGTGGCGCTCCAACCCTCACGGTCTGACTTCCTCCCAACTCCTCAAGGGGGTGTGAAATGTCTGATTGAAACTGTCTAACCCCCAAAGGAAGATGGTTTTCTCAGAAAGTGAGACACAACAGAACAGGCCTCTTTCCTTCAAAAATCTGCAGTAAAAGAATTCCTTATTTTACTGAAGCATAGTTGATATCAAAGTTATGGACAAAAGAGCGACTCAAGGAGACAGACATGGAAGAATCTTCCATGCTTCTCACACAGACTTCTATTTCCAAACTCACTTCAAATTGTCAGTGTTTTTCTGATTTCAAAAATAGCAAATACTTATTGAAGAAAACTCAGACAATTATGAAAAAGAAAATACAAATCACACATAGTTCAATCTCTTAGAGATAGCTACTGTTAAGATTTGACAGATTTTCTTGTCTTTTTCCAGTATACGTATGTATATATAGGTATTATATATACATACGTATATTATATTTATTATACGTATTATATATACATACATATATTATATTTATTATGTGTATTATATATACATACGTATATTATAGCGTATACTTACATATTGTATTAAATATATACATATGTATATGTATATATAAGTATGTGTATATATGTATATATTTAATACAATTATTGTATGTATATTTTATACATACAGTACACATAATGTATACACAATAATGTATTAAATACAATAATTGTATTTAAATTGTATTTAAATAAATACTGGCATCTATTAGTCATATACTTGGTCCCTGACTCTTCTTGGTATACGAATTGTTTTATAATGCAGCTGAAGCTTCTCTGGTACCACAAGCTGTAGGGGATCAGAGGCTGGAACTTCTATAGAATGGTCTGACAATTCCGGGGAAGGGTACATCTGGCCACAAGATGGCCATATTATTGTATTCAATATATACATATATACACATACTTATATATACATATACATATGTATATATTTAATACAATTAAAATAACACTAAATGTACCATTTTGTTTCTGGCCTTTTCAGTTAATGATAATTTTTCTATTTTGTTAAACTTCTCCAAAAACATTAAACTGCATTATGCTCTGATAGTAGATGTGGCACAATTAATTCTACCATTTCTCTATTGTTAGCCATGTAGGTTGTTCTTAATTTTCTCATTATTATGAATGCATGTGACAATCATCACTTTACCTAAGTTGTGTCTGTCACTTTTTTAAAGGCCAAGTAAAATTGCAAAGTCAGAGTTTATCTCTGAGGGCAAAAGACAGATTATACTGGATCCAATAGAAATGATTTTAGCTAATTCAGTAGGGGGGATTATGGATCTAGTTAGTATTAGAAAGGATTCAAGGAGTGGATTTTATGGAAGGTGACAGAAGGCAGCTCAGTTGGTGTGGGATGGGCTCCATTTCTGCTTGGGCCTGGCCTTGGCAAAGGCTGGGGCAATTGGAGGTAAAATACAGACCTCTAACCAAGAAAGGGAGCAAGTATGGATGGGCCATCAGCCAGGTGAGAAGGAGAGCCTGGTGCCAGAGATGGGGGATCTTGACACCACATGGAGGTCCAGGTGGGTGGACGGTTTCAGAGGGCTGGTAGGGCAATATGAAGAGGAAGTGTAGGCAAAAGCACTGCGAGGTGCTATTCACATGAAGGCTGATACAGATCTATAGTACCTTATTGAAAAGGCTTGGGGCCAGAAACAATTCAGCTTTAGGAATCTTTCAGCTTTTAGATAGGTTATTGTCTACATGTATTATATAACATCACCAGCAGGGGCTGGAACAGGAACCTGTAATCAAACACATCTGTATCTCTGCAGGCAAATATTCGAATGTTTCCACTAAATGGTATAATTAAAGACCGTAAATAGCTTCACATAGTTAGATCAGGTTTGCCACTAAATTAGTTCAAAAAGGTCAGTTTGCTGCCAAATGGCTTATGAGGAAAAAAAAAAAAAAAAAGCTTTAGAGTCTCTTGGATTTTGGAATTAGGCTAAAGAATTGTGGACCTGGCTAGGTGCTGTGGCTCACACCTGTAATCCCAGCACTTTGGGAGGCAGAGGCAGGTGGATCACCTGAGGTCAGGAGTTTGAGACCAGGCTGGCCAACATGGCAAAACCCCCATCTCTACTAAAAATACATAAAATTAGTCAGGTGCGGTGGTGGGTGCCTATAATCCCAGCTACTCAGGAGGCTGAGGCAGGAGAATTACTTGAACTCGGAGGGCAGAGGTTGCAGTGAGCCAAGATTGCGCCACTGCACTCCAGCCTGGGCGACAGAGCGAGACTCCGTCTCAACAACAACAACAACAACAACAACAACAACAAAAAAAAGAATTATGGAACTCTATCATCATTAAGGTGAATAATGTCATTTCAAACTATTTTAAGTATGGGCTATAACATTTTCTGTCTTTTTATTTGTTCTTAAAAAGATTACCCCAGAAGTTTTCGAGAAGCTGGGATTCCCTGCGGCGAAGGAAATAGCTGATATGTGTCGTTTCTATCAAATGAAGCCGGACCGAGATGTCAAGCTCACCCACAGACTAAATCCCAAAGTCAAAAGCTTCAGCCAGTTTATCTCAGAGAACCAGGGAGCCTTCAAGGGCATGTAGAAAATCAGCTGTTCAGATAGGCCTCTGAACCACACAGCCTCTTTCCTCTCTGATCTTTTTCCTCTTTACAGCACAACATTTATGTTGACAGAACATGCTGGAATGCAATTGTTTGCAACACTGAAGGATTTCCTGCAGTCCCCTCTTCAGTAGTAAGCACTGTGTTGGTGATAGGACACAGTAATCTGATTCACATTTAACTTGCTAGTTAGTGATAAGGGTGGTACACCTGTTTGGTAAAATGAGCAGCCTCGGAACTTGGAGCTTCTCCCCTAACACTAATGGGAGGGCAGATTTTACTGGGATTTCTCCTGGGTGAGTGATTTCAAGCCCTAGCGCTGAAATTCCCCTAGGCAGCTCCAGTTTTCTCAACTGCATTACAAAATTCCCAGTGAACTTTTAAGTAGTTTTAATTTTAAAAAATGAACATCTTTGTAGAGAATTTTCTGGGGAACATGGTGTTCAATGAACAAGCACAAGCTCTGGAAATGCTAAAATTCAGTTTTGCTTCACGATTGGAAGTTTATTTTCTGATTCATTCATGAAGTCATCTATTGAGCCACCATTCAGTTATTTGTCTATTAATTCCTTGATCCTTCATTTATCCATTCTGCAAACTTTTCTTGAGCACTAGCACGGGTGGCACATTTGTGGACTTCACTTCATTCCTATGTGTTTTCTTCTCAGAGTGATCCACTCTCAGAAAGGCTCCTTTCCAGTTTGTGGTTGGGTTGGAGTCAGGTCAGGGCCAGAGGGCCCATCTCCCCATTTAGCTCTAGGCAAAATCCAGGGGATCTGCAGTGGGGAGTGGGGACAGGAAGCTGGAGGGAAGGCCTGTGAAGGGTAGGGATGTGGAAAGAGGAGGTGACAGAAGGACCCCATAGGACCTTCCTATATCTCTGGCTTAGCATTTTTTACATCATATTGTAATCGTCTTATTTGCTAGTTTTCTTTCTTTCTGTGAGTGACTTACGCTCATCTTATCCCAGTGCCTGGTACATAATAAGTGATCAATAAATGTTGATTGACTAAATGAGTAAATAATCAATTCTATTATTACAAGAAAAGAGTGGCCAGGCACAGTGGCTGATACGTATAATCCCAGGACTTTGGAGAGGCTGAGGTGGATGGATTGCCTGAGTCCAGGAGTTTAAGACTAGCCTGGGCAACATGGTGAGACCCTGTCTCTGGAAAAAAAAAAAATTAGCCAGGCCATGGTGTTGTGCTCCTTTGGTCCCAGCTACTCGGAGGCTGAGGTTGCAGGATCACCTGAGCCTGGAGGTTGAGGCTGCAGTGAGCCGTGATCATGCCACTGCACTCCAGCCTGGGTGACAGAGTAAGAACCTGTCTCTAAATAAGTAAGTAAATAAACAGGTGCATTGCTTGTGTGTATTGGGGGTGTGGTTCTTACTCCGCCAAAAGAACTAGCAACTGCTACTTTTTAAGGGCAAGAGATTGGCCTCTTCTGGGAATGGAGGATCCCCCACTATCCAACGTGTGATGATGGAAGCCCCTGAGCAAGGACAGAGATGGTGGAGCCTGTGTGAGAGCCCTTGGCCTGGAATCTCACTCAGGAGAGGGAGACTTGGTGGTGGCAAAAGACAGCCTTTTCTGTTTTAGAGCTCCAAGCGATACGTGTTGAATAAATGATGTTGAAATTGTTGCAGACAAATTTTGATTCTTGGGGGGCAATCACAATTGAAGTGCATTTGAGGACCAACCCCTCTCCTTTTCAAAATACCAAGCCCCCAGCAATCAATTCAGTGCAACTTAAGTGCTCAGCCCTGGGAAATGGGCCTGGATAAATTTCTAAAAAGGGAAAAGAAAAAGAAAAACAAAACCCTAAACTAAAAATAGGTGACTTATTACTCATCTGGGTGGGCCAGATGGGAAGAATGACTGCTGTTCCCTAAATAAACCTCAGGGTCCCCCATGTGGAGTGTGACTACAGGCCTAAGGGTCCCCTGGACTTTTTGTGTGTTTGCTGGGATGGCAGGTTGCTTCTTGTGGACCAGGATAGCTGGGCATGGTGACTCACACCTGCAATCCCAGGACTTTGGGAGGCCAAGGTGGGAGGATTGTTTGAGGCCAGAAATTTGAGACCAGACTGGGCAACATAGCCAGACCCTATTTCTAAAAAAAAAAAAAACCAAACTCAGCCAGGCATAGTAGTGTATGCCTGTAGCCCCAGCTACTTGGGAAGATGAGGCAGGGGAATCGCTTGAGCCCAGAAGTTTGAGGCTTCAGTGACCTGTGATCATGCCACTGCATTCCAGACAGAGTGAGACCTTCCTTCTCTCTTTTTTTTTTTTTTTTTTGAGACAGGGTCTAACACTGTCACCCAGGCTGGAGTGCAGTGGTGCAGTCACAGCTCACTATAGCCTAAAACTTCTGAGCTCAAGCGATCCTCCTGCCTCCACCTCCTGAGTAGCTGGGACTACAGGCACACAGTACCATGCCTGGCTAATTCTTTTTGTATTTTTGTAGGGACAGGGTCTAGCTATGTTGCCCAGCCTGGTCTCAAACTTCTGGCCTCGAGCGATCTGCCTGCCTTAGTCTCCCAAAGTGTTGGGATTACAGGCATGAGCCACCATGCCCCGCCTACCCTGTCTCTTTAAAAAAAAAAAAAAAAAGGGAAGAAAGAAAAGAAGAAAAGAAGACTGAGACAGGCCAGGGCTGCATAGCCATGGATCAGTCCCAACAATTGTTTCTGGAAAGCATGAGAAGTCCTTCCAGGATTTAGAACTAGACTTTACAGTGGCTGATCTGAAATGAGACTGTGCACTTTAGGCACCTCAATCTCACATAACAAAGAAAAGAACTTCCAATTAGTCTGAGACATTTAATATTTGTTGTCATTTTAATATTTAATAATAGTGGACAAAAGATTCCACCACTATCCTCTCCCATTCCTACCCAACAGTCTCCAGGCCAAGGGAAGGAAAGGATTCCCTTTGCAGTTGTCCAGGGTAGAGACCTGGAGACCCAAGAGAGGCACAGAAGGTGGAAATGGGGCCGTGCATCTCAGTGAACAAGAGCACCCTCTGTTGTCCAAGAGTAGATTAGGGTTGGGGGTGTGGGTGATGGAATAGAAAGGATGCAGATCTCTCCCTGTGATTCCAGGAATGACCCTAGAAATCCAAGCTACAAAGTCAGATAATCCTAGATTTGATTGCCTCTGCCACTGACAAGTTGTGTGAACTTGGTCAAGTTACTTGATTTCTGAGCTTGGTCTCCCCATCCTCACTGGGGACTGCTGGAAGGACTAAAAGATTGAAAGCATGAGAGGCAGTTTGTATAGTCTTTGCCAGGTAGTAAGTGCTCAAGAAACAGCTGTAATTATTCTCTCTCTCTCTTTTTTTTTTTTTTTTTTTTTTTTGAGGCTCTTATTGCCTAGGCTGGAGTGCAATGGCGCGATCTCGGCTCACCGCAACCTCCGCCTCCCGAGTTCAAGAGATTCTCTCCTGTCTCAGCCTCCCGAGTAGGTGGGCTTGCAGGCGCGTGCTGCCACGCCCAGCTAATTTTGTATTTTTAGTGGAGACGGGATTTCTCCATGTTGGTCAGGTTGGTTTCAAACTCCCGACCTCAGGTGATCAGCCCGCCTCGGCCTCCCAAAGTATTGGGGTTAAAGGCGTGAGCCACCGCGCCCAACCAAGAAACAGCTATAATTATTCTTGAGCATAATTCCTCCCCTTGCCTCCTTCATATGCCTCCCAAAGTTCTGAGGTGCCTCCTGGGCGGTTCCCGGTGTCTGACCTTGGCCTCCTGGACTGCAGGTTCATCATGCTCTAACCGCCCCCTGCCAGGTGTCCTGTCCCTTCCCATCTCCCTTCTTCCACCACTAGATGGCAGGATGAGCCCAGCATAAGAAAGGATCGCTCCAGCCTCATCCCAGGTGATTTTTCCCAGGGCTTTTTTGGGAAATAAAGCCAAAGGAGATAGTTATGCGGCGCATCTTAAAGCCTTGTCGGTTACCCTCCGTGGCCATTTCGACAGACATGCGCTGGTCACCTTCTCTGGAGTGAAGTGCCTTCTCCGTGCTGGATTTGAGATTAAGGGAAGAAAGGGAGGACCAAGGGATTATCCAAAGGCTCCAGCGCTGGCTCGCTCCACGGCAGAGAAAGGCCTTCAGGCTGAGGGTGAGTCTTCTGCATAGAGGGGTCCCAGGCCCTGCTCCAGGAGTGCAGAGCACAGGGCCTGCCCTTTCTCCGCCTGGCAGCTGGGGCCGAACCTTGCTGGATGCTGGTGTTCCTGCTGCTGGCTTCTCCGCCGGTCACACTGCTTGTCATCCTCTCTCCGACCCAAGGGACCTTTGCTACTCTGAAGCCCCATCAAGACTACACAAGGGGCAGAGACGGTTCACTAAAAGGAAACTGGGGCACTGTTAGGAAGTGCACACTGAACGGCTCTCAAACATTGTCCATTCTCCCAGGTAACAGAGCAGAACACTCTGGCAATGTAGTCCTGTCTTGGACTCCTCATGGGAGTGAGCAGGAAGGCAATAACATGAATTTTAAACCATCTCGGAGTAGAAGTTGCTATAACATTTCTCTCTCTCTTTCTTTCTCTCTTTCTCTCTCCCCTTCCTTCCTTCCTTCCTTCCTTCCTTCCTTCCTTCCTTCCTTCCTTCCTTC